CTAAGGTAAGGAACCCAAGACTGAACACAATATTTCAAATGTGGCGGAACCAGTGACCTATACAATGAAATTATAACCTCTTTAGATTTGTATTCAATATGTCTATAAATATAATCTAAAATCCTATTTGCCTTACCACTAGCAACAGTCCTTTGTTTTTTCCATCCAGCCCCTCTTCTGCCCAATTAGCTAACTTAGATATATATATTTTACAAGTCTTTTATGTAGCATCTTGTCAAATGCTTTCTGAAAATCCAGATACACCAAGTCTACACCCTTACCCTTATGTACATAAACAGTAACCTTTTCAAAGAAGGTCAAGAGATTTGTAAGGCAAGATTTTCATTTAGTGAAACATGAAACCATGTTGACTGTCCAATAAAATTCTAAACTTTGTTAAATTACTTTGCAAAACATCTTGTATAAGATTTGCATGTAAGAATCAGAAAGCTGTAGCTCATAATGATGAAAAATGTCTGATCCATTCATATGAGCAACAAATTACACCCTCTACAGTTTGCCCAAAACCAACAGTACAAAGAACACAAATCATACTTGTGTGATTGGTACTCAACACAGGTCATTCAGCAGGCCAACAAGAAAGGTGTAACCAGTGAAACTTCACACAACATGATTGTTAACCTTGAAACATTAGTTCTAAAACTAATAGACACCAATATAATTACTGCTCCTCGTGACAGGATGTTGGAGCATAGTAGCCTCATCAAGATGGGCTTTTCAAATCCTGCTTATTATAGATTTATGAAATAACATTTTGGGAGGAAACAAATTATAAATTCAATAAATATATTTGTTGTGGCTTTTCTAGTAAATATGGTATTAACAACAACTGATACAATGTTAGTTATGCTCGCAATTCATTGGTATTTGCTGTAGTACCGAAATGAAAAATAAAACTTTTATTCTCATGTGTACATTATCAATCCAGTAAGCTTGTACTTAAAATTAACACATTGTAATGACAGGAACCAGAGAATAAAACACAAGAAATATATCAAAACTTGTAATATATTTTGTTCAGGTTTAATTTTATTGTTCAATAGGACCATAAGAAAAACATGAATAATACAAAATTCACAGTACATTAAAATGTATGTTTAATAGAACAAGATGCATTCTTGTAGATGTTTCTCATCTGTTGAAGGCCTGCACTGTTAATGTTTTCTTCTTTTGAACACTAACAGAGAACTGAAGTTTATTTTTCTGTGTAGGTACTCTGGAGACTGCAGATTTTCAGTGAGAGCAAAAGGGTTAACGGCGGGAATTAAAGATATTCAGGTACTTATATGTGTGTGTGTAAAATAGAGATGAATTGTGTCACACGGTTATAATTTAAATTCCTTAGTAGCAAGGAAGACACATAGAGAACTCAGAATTTTCACACTTTCCCTTGAGCTTGGTGTAAACATATTAAGGTCATACTGTTTGACTGACTTGAATTTGGTGTTTTGATCAGGTGGAGTAGTTTGTTGATGTGCATGGAACAGTCAAGATGTAGGAGTTTTTCCTGTCTTTATGTACACGTATACTGTCAGAACCAACTGTTGTCTTTATGTACATGTTTACTGTCAGAACCAACTGTTTTCTTTATGTACATGTATACTGTCAGAACCAACTGTTTTCTTTATGTACACGTATACTGTCAGAACCAACTGTTTTCTTTATGTACACGTATACTGTCAGAACCAACTGTTGTCTGTGTACACGTATACTGTCAGAACCAACTGTTGTCTTTGTGTACACGTATACTGTCAGATCCAACTGTTTTCTTTATGTACATGTATAAGAACCAACTGTTTTCTTTATGTACATGTATACTGTCAGAACCAACTGTTTTCTTTATGTACACGTATACTGTCAGAACCAACTGCTGTTTATGTACATGTTTACTGTCAGAACCAACTGTTTTCTTTATGTACATGTTTACTGTCAGAACCAACTGTTGTCTTTATGTACACATATACTGTCAGAACCAACTGTTTTCTTTATGTACACGTATACTGTCAGAACCAACTGCTGTCTTTATGTACATGTATACTGTCAGAACCAACTGTTTTCTTTATGTACACGTATACTGTCAGAACCAACTGTTTTCTTTATGTACATGTATACTGTCAGAACCAACTGTTTTCTTTATGTACACGTATACTGTCAGAACCAACTGCTGTCTGTATGTACATGTATACTGTCAGAACCAACTGTTTTCTTTTGATCAGCTTCATGGAGTGATGCGTGTAGAAATGAAACCGTTAGTGAAACAGATTCCTCTGATTGGTGGGGTGAATGTTTTCTTCCTTATACCACCAGTAAGTAACTTGATGTTCTACTTACTTTGATTATGTCTTTACTTTCGTAGGCTCATAATCAGTATAAGGACAAATAAAGCTAATGTTTAAGGTTGGAACAGAGCAGATAGCCCATTATTTTTGTATAAATTATTTGTTTATACATTTTCTATGCAACATTTACGTTTTTTGAATATTTATTTGAACAGTAAAATCTTCTGTGAGCATTAGCTGCAGTGTTGTTTCATGCACTGCTATGCACAGTTTTCTGTTAACCTTGGATTTTATATCTTGAGTTGCCATGTTTTACAGGCTATTGATTTCAACATGACTAACCTGGCAGACATTTTGAACTTACCTGTTCTGAGGTGAGTCTTACTACTTTTCTCTCGCTCTGCACTTTATTTCTGCTTTATTGCTGTTTAGTGCTATAGAATGGTGGATTGGCTATGCATTGCATTAATTTTTCAGCTTTTTTTATATTTTTATCTCAATATTTGATATTGAACATTTTTTAAAACCTTTTTTTATTATTTCTGATAATGGAAGAGTTCAGTTTTCTTTTCTTTGTTTACTTTATAATTAAAGATATATTTAGAAACTTCACAACCATTTGCTTAGACTTTAATGTTTCTTTCTTTACAGCGATATCCTACGTAGAAATGTGATTGGCCAGATTACTGCTCTGATGGTTTTTCCAAATAAGTTTACTATCTCTCTTACAGAGGACATTCCTGTTCGCTTACTTAAATTTCTTCAACCTGCAGTAGGTTCTTTGTTTTATAAAGCTAAATCTTTGTGTTCAGAAATACTTAGATATAAAGTAGTTTGATGGTTTCTAATCTTTTGAGTATTTGTTACAATCACATATTATAATATTTATAAGGTAATAAACTTATTTCAGAAATTCATGTACTATTCAAGTCATTCTTGTATTCTCTTTCCATAGAATTATAAGATCTGGTATAGATGTGTACAAAAAACTGTATGTTTATATCTGTAAATGTAGCTACATGTACAAGTGAACAGCGTGAATAACTTATTATCTGGTATAGATGTGTACAAGAAACTTTATGTTTATATCTGTAAATGTAGCCACATGTACAAGTGAACAGCATGAATAACTTAAGATCTGTTATAGATGTGTACAAAAAACTGTATGTTTATATTTGTAAATGTAGCTACATGTACAAGTGAACAACATGAATAACTGAAGATCTGGTATAGATGTGTACAAGAAACTTTATGTTTATATCTGTAAATGTAGCTACATGTACAAGTGAACAGCATGAATAACTTAAGATCTGTTATAGATGTGTACAAGAAACTTTATGTTTATATCTGTAAATGTAGCTACATGTACAAGTGGAAAACATGAATAACTTAAGATCTGGTATAGATGTGTACAAGAAACTGTATGTTTATATTTGTAAATGTAGCTACATGTACAAGTGAACAACATGAATAACTGAAGATCTGTTATAGATGTGTACAAAAAACTGTATGTTTATATTTGTAAATGTAGCTACATGTACAAGTGAACAACATGAATAACTTAAGATCTGGTATAGATGTGTACAAGAAACTTTATGTTTGTGTTTATAAACTTAGCTACAAGTGAACAACATGAATAACTTAAGATCTGGTATAGATGTGTTCAAAAAACTGTATGTTTATATTTGTAAATGTAGCTACATGTACAAGTGAACAACATGAATAACTGAAGATCTGTTATAGATGTGTACAAGAAACTTTATGTTTATATTTGTAAATGTAGCTACATATACAAGTGAACAACATGAATAACTGAAGATCTGTTATAGATGTGTACAAGAAACTGTATGTTTATATCTGTAAATGTAGCTACAAGTGAACAATGTAAATAATCTGGTATAGATATAGTGATATATATATATATATATAGCATGTTAATATAGTGTTATGTATATTGTTAACTTACAGTTTGGAGATTTGCTAAGTAATAAGTATTTCTTAAATATAAAAAAAAACTGAAAAATATCTAACATGTAGGTCAACCACATTTTCTCAGAAGCTTTAAGGGTCCTTTTGTTTTCCTTTTAAAATAATTTCAACCATATAAATTTTAATCTTTAAAGTTATGAAAATATATTTTTATGACTTGTGTATTCAGTACATTAAAACTGAATTCTGTTTAACATTTTAAGGGTGTTTTATACATTGAAGTATTAGAAGCAAGAAAGTTGAAGAATGCTGACATTTGCTCAGCATCTGATCCTTATGCTATTATTACAGGTAAATTTAGTTTGATCTTAATTTTCTCTATTACTAAAGAGACTTTGTGCATGTTTATGAAAACCAGGAAAATATACATTCTGCTGACAAAGTTTTAAAAAAGCTTTTGAGAGTGAAACTTAAAGGAAAAATGGACATTTTACAAACATGTACCTTCATCCAAACAATCCCCATCTGTAATCATTGGTTGATTCATATCCCCATCTGTAATCATTGGTTGATTCATATCCCCATCTGTAATCATTGGTTGATTCATGTCCCCTTCTGTAATCATTGGTTGATTCATATCCCCATCTGTAATCATTGGTTGATTCATATCCCCATCTGTAATCATTGGTTGATTCATATCCCCATCTGTAATCATTGGTTGATTCATAAAATTCAAGGCTGTAAGTATATTATGTTCTACTTAAGTGACAGTCAAGATATCATACATAGATGTCTAATGAAAGGGGGTCTCAAACTGGGGTCCAGGAGTTGGTCTCAGGGGTCCTTGGCACACGTATACATTTTTTTTATTAAAGTTGCTCTGGTACTGGATAAAGAAATGTTTTCAACAAGGTTTTACTTATAATAAATATGACTATACAACAATTTTACTTGAAAAAACAAGTAAAAATGTTGCATAGTCATATTTATTATAATAAGTAAAAAACAAGTAAAAATGTTGCATAGTCATATTTATTATAATAAGTAAAAAAAACTTATTATAATTAATATGACTATGCAACATTTTTATGCCTATGATTTTTTTCAAAGAACAAATTGCAATTAAAGTAGTGTACATCCAAGTGGCTATTATTTAAAATTTCTATAAAATTAATGTATGGGAATTCTCATCCAGGGTGTCCAAGTTTTGAGTTAAAAGTCTGGGGATCCCTGGTCTAGGCACTTAAGGAAAAGCAGTAAAACAAGCTAAACATTATATACAGCAAATGACAAAAATGCTTGATTTTGGAAGAACTTAATGATAAACATTCTAAACGAACATTCCCTTTCATTTTCAAACAGCATATTTTAATAATAACTTATCTATAATTTACTTAAAATGTTTTATAGTTGGAGCCTTCAAGTCCAAAACAATAGTCATTACTAATTGCAATAATCCAGTGTGGAATCATCAGTGTGAGGTAGGTAATATTAGTTTTAATATGTTTCTATGTTTGTTGCTAGTCATGTTATATCCATGTGTTTTAATATGGAAACTTGTTTCTGTGTTTGTTACCATACATCATTGTTTGTTACTAGTCATGTTATATCCATGTGTTTTAATATGGAAACATGTTTCTGTGTTTGTTACCATACATCATTGTTTGTTACTAGTCATGTTATATCTATGTGTTTTAATATGGAAACTTGTTTCTGTGTTTTTACCATACATCATTCTTTGTTACTAGTCATGTTATATCCTTGTGTTTTAACCCTATTACCACGGGTATCCTTTACTCCTTATGACACAAGGTTTTAGTGTCTTAAATTCAAAATTTTATTAAACTACTTTTTGTTTATGTTATACCAATTAAAATAGCATTAAGTCTTGGCTAATAACCCATATTTTAATAGTATACAAGTTTTAAGTTCTTAATGATACTAGGCAATATTTAAAAAAATCCTGAATTTCCCCTAGTGTGACCCATGTGAAACATTTTCTTTCAGCATGTCATCTTCCCTCTTTTATCCACGACCCCTTGAAATTACTTGAGAAACTAAACAGAATTGTTATAATGAAGTAAGTGTTTATCATTTTGTTTAGGCTGTGGTCAGTCATGTTGAAGGACTAACATTAGATATTGAAGTGATGGATGAAGACAAGGATTCCAAAGATGATTTTCTTGGAAGGTTTTGTTTTATTTATAAAGTTTGAAGCATGTATTTTGGTATAAAAACACCCTAATTTATTGTGGAAATCATTAACTTTCTGTTTGTTGTCTGTTCAAGGAGAAGGAACATATTTTGAAAACTAAAACTAAACAGTTAATAATTTGGTAATAGAAATAGTTTTAGAAGACTACAGCATTAGTTTATAAGGTTAGTTGATAATTAAAAGTAGTATTTTTCTCTACAGATTTTCTGTAAATGCTGTGTATAAGATGTAACACTGAAAAATAGGTATAGATTTTTTTAAATATGTTAATTTTAGACAGTTATAGTAAAACAAATTGATTATTATGTTGTTTGTATTGTTAAAGTAATTTAATTATTTAGTTCAGAATTATTGAAAATAAGTCTCTAAAGTGTTATCAAAGGTGTAATTTGTTACAGAATGTGAATATAAGAGATAAATGGAAATCTTAGCATAAAATTTATTATATCAATAGATAAATAGAGTTAAGCTAGTTTTTCAGCTGTTTTAATGTCATATATTTTACTCTACAGATCATCAACAGTTGAATGGTAATTATTTAATTAAACTTGTTCTATTAATCTAACACTCAAGTAAAATTTATAGTTTTTTTGATAATTGTTACTCAGCTTTTGTGATTGACGTAGGATGATATCCTCTTTTGATCTGGATTTTTTTTGCATCTAGTTGTTAGGTAAATGTAGCATTTATATTCTATACTGTCAATGTATTTTTCCAAAATGGTCTTACCTTCCCTCACCCAAAGCTATCTCGATCCTGGATTGCCCTCTAAGCATTGCTAACAGTTTTTGCTAATAGCACACCAGTCTTTCATACCCATCATTTCAGAACATGTGCTGATCATGTCATTACCCTCCACCAATCATATTGCACCTTCTACATAGCAAGCTCCCTCTACTATTCTAGAGTAATCATCACTTTCTTGATTGGCATTCTAGTATATAGACGTGTGTTTGAATTCATTCTCCATGTGACTACAAAATTTGAATTGTACTTGTTCACAAATTTATATCAGTTTCAACTTCAAGTTTTGACTTTGTGTGTTTGTTTTAGAAGTATTTCTGTTTTCCGAATTCTAAAGTGTTCTTGTGAATTGGAGATTTAATATGGCTACGGTAGACAATGGTTCTGACACAAGTCCCCAGGTCTACAGGGTCAACAATGTTTGCTAGGGAAGAACAGGCTTTAGTTCGTGGGGAGTTTAGAGTGGACTTTTAAATACGTTCTGTGTTTACACTGTCTTTTATCTTCTAAGCTCCTGCAGTGGTTTTGTACTTTAGGTATTGCATATTTATCTGTGTTTTAGGCTGAATTTCATAGTTTTGCAAGTTTGTTATTTTTATGTATTTTGTAGACTCTACAAATTTCTAGGTTTTGTTAGTTTGTTGGTAATGAGTACTTTCTCTAAGTATGTTTAGTTTATGTGTCTTTTTGCTACATTCATGGCACTTCCCTGAGTTCTACGGATTCTATCTGAAGATTTCAGCCTTTAGTTCTGCCTCCCCCCCCCCCAATCCATCCACTTCCCCAGATCTCCTTCCCTCCTCCCTGGGATCATATTTTTTCTAGATGTCTTGCCTAGTCTGCTTAAGACCTCCTTTACAAAGGGGCTGTCAATTGGGTTTTAGACCTGTCCCAATTGAACTCTGTTTTCATAATTACTAATGTCAGCTTCATTTTTTAGAGATATAAGTATTGTTTTTATCATTAGTTATGTCAGGTTTATTCTTTAAAATTGTTCAGTTTTGTTTATGTTTTCATTGTTAGTTATGTCATCTTAACTCTTCAGTGTTAGAACTACTGATTTTTATCTCTAGTTGCTTCATATTTATAGGTATTGATGTCAACTTAAATGTTATTAAATATTTTCTCTATTTGAAGGATCTCTGTAAACATTTCTTCAATCATCACATCTGGAAAGGTTGATACAGTAAGTACAAACAGTGTTTTGAATTTTGTATTTATAAAATATAAAAGTAATAATGAATGATATCTTTGTTTATTATGAATATTAAGTACATTTTTAGTGAATGAAATGAACAAATGAAACTTATTTTTACTCACAGTGGTACACTTTGGAGGAAGCCAAAACAGGAGAGATACATTTAAAAATAACTTGGTTGACATTTACTGATAACCTTTCGGACATCAATCCTGTAAGTTGAACTGCATGTTAGAAATTAGCTGTTTCACGGTTATCAATTAAGTTAAGTTATACATTAGTAATAAGCAGTGATATTGGTAATCCTGTAAGTTGGGCTGTACATTAGGAATAAGCTGTCCTACTGGTAATCCTGTAATTTGAGTTATATATTACCAATAAGCTGTCCTACTGGTAATCCTGTAAGTTGAGTTATATATTAGCAATAAGCTGTCCTACTGGTAATCCTTTAAGTTGGGCTGTACATTAGGAATAAGCTGTCCTACTGGTAATCCTGTAATTTGAGTTATATATTACCAATAAGCTGTCCTACTGGTAATCCTGTAAGTTGAGTTATATATTAGCAATAAGCTGTCCTACTGGTAATCCTGTAAGTTGAGTTATATATTAGCAATAAGCTGTCCTACTGGTAATCCTTTAAGTTGAGTTATATATATTAGCAATAATTCTTTATTTGTCAAATACTTTTTGTTTAATGCATGAAATAATGTTTTAGTATTTATTTTTATGTACTGAAAATTCTAACGATGTAAATTGTTTCTGAGGGGTAACATTTGTGACTTGTTTGTAGATATCTGGTATGTTCAAGATGGATATATTTCTCATAATGTAGATTAGTTGTTTTTGTTTATCGAAAGTGATCAAGATGGAGATGTTTTACATTGCCCCTTCTCTTTAATATCCAGGTAATGAACATGAATATACCCCATTTTTCATCCTCATTATTGATGGTGTTCGTGGATTCTGCTACTGATCTACCTGTAAGTACATATGTTTGTTAAGTCAGTTTAATGAGCTATCATGCAAGATAACTTGTCATAGGAGAAAATTGATTTGTTTTGTTCCTATTGTGTTTAAATGAGCCCATGATGGTTAAGATAAGCTATATTGATTGTTTATAGTGGAAGATAGACAAATGTGTTGGAATGAGCCCATGATGGGTAAGATAAGCTATATTGATTGTTTATAGTGGAAGATAGACAATTATGTTGGAATGAGCCCATGATGGCTAAGATAAGCTATATTGATTGTTTGTGGTGGAAGATAGACAATTATGTTGGAATGAGCCCATGATGGCTGAGATAAGCTATATTGATTGTTTATGGTGGAAGATAGACAATTGTGTTGGAATGAGCCCATGATGGCTAAGATAAGCTATATTGATTGTTTGTGGTGGAAGATAGACAATTGTGTTGGAATGAGCCCATGATGGCTAAGATAAGCTATATTGATTGTTTATAGTGGAAGATAGACAATTGTGTTGGAATGAGCCCATGATGGCTAAGATAAGCTATATTGATTGTTTATGGTGGAAGATAGACAATTGTGTTGAATTTTTGTTGAAATATTTTCTTTTTTGGACCAGTTACTAACTCAGTTGAGGTTAGATGCTAGTAATTGTTATTTTTTGAATATTTACCTCTTTTTGACCTATTCACTAATACAGTGGGAGATAGATGCTATTACTTGTTATTTTTTAAATATTTCTATCTTTTGATTAGAGTAACTTGATAATCATCTAACCATCAGGCTCATTAATTGATTACATTCAACTAATCTATTATTCTCACATGAGACTTAGATACCTCGAATAATAAAAAATATTAGTAATTTTTGGTACAACTGATTTAATTATAATTTTGATTATTCAGTTACCCCTCTCTGCCCAGGCATCATTTACTGCACATGTCACAAGGTTTTAGTGACTTACATTTAAATTTTCAACTACTTTTTGTTTATGTTATACCAATTAGTATAGCATAAAATCATAGCTAATAATCTATATTTTAATAGTATATAAGTTCTTAAATTTATCAATATTTAAAAAATTCCTGAATATCCCCTTGTGTGAGAAATGTGACATATTTTCTCTAGGTATCCCCTCTTCTGAATTTTATTCACCAGCCCTCCAATAAGTATGAAATTTAGCATAAATTATTCAATATAAAATCAACATTGCTCAGACAAACCATAATTTTCATAGCTTCAGGCCTGTTTGGTTACAGAGCTATCAAATAGAAAATCATACCCCTCTTGCCACAACCACCTGTCACATACTCTCTTTCAGGATTTGTTAATAGTTTTCTCTTACGTTTAATTCTATATTTTGTATAACCAATAGAAAGCAAAGGTTTGTCCTATCAAATGATGTATTATATTACATTTGTTTTCTGAACAAAGAATTGTCAATTTCTCTGTTAGTACAAGCTTTTTTCCCATGGGAAAGATAATGACTGGCTTGGATGAATTTGTAACAACTCTTGTCTCATAGTGTAGTTAGAAAGCCAGAAAAATTGTGATAGTTAGGGAGAAATTGTCTGCTTTTTGCACGTTATTATTCTATGTTTTTTGGTGCATTATATAATTAAATAAAAATTATTTTGTGCATTACTACTATTAGTATAAAAAAAAGGAGGGTTAAGTGTCATTGATAGTCGACAGCAAAGAAAAGAAGACTCGGGTAAGTCATTGATTTCTTGTTTTTCATGTTTATTCTTTATTTATTATAATAAAAGTAACTAAAATGTAAAAATAAGGATCTCTTTAGGTTACATTAGATAAAATAAATAATAATAATAATATATTAAAAATGTTTCCCAAGGCACACATGTGAACAGCTCTGAGCAGCTCATGGGTAATTGGGTAATGTAATTCAATAGTGTAATGTGAGCTCCACATTCCCCAAGTGATTTACAAGTTATAATGGTGCGATAGTAGTTAGACACGGTTCAAAGGGCAATAAGACAATAAAATTTAATTATAAATGGGCGGGGTAATTGGGTAATGTAATTCAATAGTGTAATGTGAGCTCCACATTCCCCAAGTGATTTACAAGTTATAATGGTGCGATAGTAGTTAGACACGGTTCAAAGGGCAATAAGACAATAAAATTTAATTATAAATGGGCGTATACTGTTATAAGTTTAAAGCTACTTAGGGTAAACGAATGTAGTTTCAAGTTACAATTTGAATTCATTCTAGAAAGAAAAAAAGGGTAATTTAGATTTATTTTGGTGGCTACGAGGTCGGTCAAATTGACCAACCTTGTATAGAGTTAGGGAAGAGAAAATAACAGATTAAATATAAAGTTTTACAGAAAACAAAATTTGAAATATGTTTAGGAGGTTTTAGAGATTATGCAAATGAAACTTGAGTTTTTGAGATGAAGAAAAGTATTTTTTTCTTAACATGAAAATCACTTTGTACACGGTCTAGTAAAAAAAACTTGATATATTCATGGACAAATCTTTTTTTTTAAATTATTAAAAATAATTCAGTAAAAATATGATTTTTTGTATGTGAAAGACTAATAATGTTTACAGAAAGACTGTCAAAGTTTGTGAAGATATACCTACTATATTTAAAGTTAGTAGTATCAAAACTATAAAGATTTTAAACGAGTTCAAAGAGGTCATCTGGTCAGTCAAATCGACCAAGTCTGTGTTGAGAGAGTTATTTTATGTGATACTAATCAAGGTAATGTAAACTCATAGGTAATTGAATTAATTGCCCAACTTTAAGTTTGAACAGTCACTAATAGAATGGGAGATAGATGTTCTAACTTATTTTTTAAATATTAGTTCTTTTGAAAGATCACTAATACAGTGAGAGATCTACCAGCCACACTTTGTCAGGACATGATTTAGCATAGAATCCATATGGTGCTGGAAGGTGCCCTTAGGGATTTTTACCATTCATTCATTAATATTGTACACAATTCATGGAGTGAAGCTGGCAGAAGACTGTGATGACAAATGTGTCTTTCAGGTTAGATTGACATGTGGGGATTGTGGCAGTCACAAGAGATTTGGCTTTGTCAGAACATGATTTAGCATAGAATCCATATGGTGCTGGAAGGGATTTTCCCCATTCATTCATTAATATTGTACACAATTCATGGAGTGAAGCTGGCAGAAGACTGTGATGACAAATGTGTCTTTCAGGTTAGATTGACATGTGGGGATTGTGGCAGTCACGAGAGATTTGTAGAGTGTCAATCATGTTTTTTAAATCATGCGTGCATAATTTGAGTATGGTTGATTGAAGCATTGTCATCTTGGAAGAAGCTGTTCCCATCAGGGTACACAAGAAGCATCACTGGATGCCCTTGATCAGAAATTATACTGAAGAAAGTTGTGAGGCCTGGACAATTGGGAACACATAAGAAGGATGAGTTACTGTTATGGCTTTTTCCAAATTCATCTTCTCTCACTTGTGCAAAAAATATTAAAGCATGATTCATTGACTACACCTTTTTCCAGGCCTTTATTAGTCCAGTTTCTGCCCTATTAACACCACCTAGAGTTGTTTGGTGCCCAGTGGGTTATGCAATGATCTCCTAGTGCCATAGTCCATTTGTTGCAATATTCTTTGAAAGGTATGGCTGGAGACGAGGGTCTGTCATTTAGTCTTTTATTGTTTGATTATGTTTGGACTTTACCAACCTGTCACCTGTTTGTGGTAACAGTTCCATTTGCAGCAGATATTTTATTTCCCTCTTGTCACTGCTGATAAACTTTAATGACCGACGTCTTGGAGCAGCCTACTAATGAAACTGTCTTGGACACTGTGGCACCTACTAACGTGCATCTTGGACACTGTGGCACCTACTAACATGAAATATCTTTAATTTTTCCCAGTCACTTATAGTGCTGCAAGGATCACCTAACATGTGATATGATCAATTTCATTTTCAGACCCAAGTTTTAAAGAGCACATAAAGTGTAGAGATGCTTCTTATGGATTATTTTTTATATTTTATTCTTTTGACCTGTCATCAGTAAAGTGGGAGGTAAACCCTTTTATTTTTAAAAAGAGAAGATTATATATATATATTATTCTTTTGAGTAATTGTTAACACAAGTTATATGCTTTTAATTATTGTTTTTCCAAATATTTTCTTCTTTTTGGCCGATCAATAGTACAGTAGACATTTTTGTTGATTTTTTTATCTAATTCCTTCAATCACTTAACATAGAGAAAAAGACTATTCTGTATAAGTCTCATTAAATTTCTTTTTTTCATTTGTGCTATTAGTAACATAAGAATACATTCATAAGACTACTGAAGCACTGTTTAAATTAATGTTTCGTTGGTCAGTCAGCTTGAGAAAAGCAAGAGGGGACTTGTAGATGTTAGAAGTATAATCTAGTCATTGATAGATGCACGAAGTTTCTTGTATGGAATTTCCAGTTACGTCAAAATTGAGTGAAATGTGCCAGCCAGTAGTCAAAATAAGAAACTATCCTTATGGTACTTCCTGTAGTTGTAAGAAGTTATGAAAACCTCGTAGTTTTATAAATTTAATTCCTGTTTAGAAAAGCGATTAAAAGCCTAAAATTGTAATTCTATTGCAAATCATGGTATATTTTTTTTTGTAAAGTCTATTTCTTTACAATTTAGTTTAAAAACCATGTTAAACAGTCAGCTAGTTTGAAAACAGTGCTTCAATTCCAGTCTATTTTACAACGTTATTTTTACATGTTAACATATAAATAAAGATTATTTTATTTATTTATTTTCTTTACAATTTAAAGATGTACTCTATTGTATCACTGCTGTCTGTACCAAGGTTGTAAGCCGTATAGCTGGAGAACCAAACCCCCAGGTGAACCTCAAGATTGCTGCTCATTCAAGACTTACTGCTGTGAGACTCAGAACCAGTAAGCCGGTGTGGGAGGAGAACTTTTCCTTTCTCTTGCAAAATCCACAGACAGATGAACTTAAGATAGAGGTGTGTAATTAAAGTTCAATGTATTAGCTAAATCACTGCAAGATCTACATATAATCTTAAGATAGAGATGTATAATTCAAGTAAAACTATATTAGCTGAATTATTGGGGAAGCAAATATCTAGTCAGTAATAGCCCTGTTCATCCTGAATGTGCTGTAAATGGGGGAGCTGGTTTTTCTTTATCTATTAGGTGTTAGAAATATATTCCAGATTCTAATTAATGTCAGGTTTGGATAACAGTTGATAGCAGGTGTTGACTGATTAATGCCATGTTTGGAAAACAGTTGATAGCATGTGTTGACTGATTAATGCCATGTTTGGAAAACAGTTGATAGCTGATGTTGACTGATTAATGCCATGTTTGGAAAACAGTTGATAGCTGATGTTGACTGATTAATGTCAAGTTTGGATAACAGTTGATAGCATGTGTTGACTGATTAATGCAAAGTTTGGATAACGATTGATAGCAGATGTTGACTGATTAATGCCAAGTTTGGATAACGATTGATAGCTGATGTTGACTGATTAAATGCCAAGTTTGGAAAACAGTTGATAGTATGTGTTGACTGATTAATGCCAAGTTTGGAAAACAGTTGATAGTATGTGTTGACTGATTAATGTCAAGTTTGGAAAACAGTTGGTAGTATGTGTTGACTGATTAATGTCAAGTTTGGA